TGTCGAGTGGACTTCTGATCTCGAATAGGTCAAAGTAATCTGAATATTCTAGGTTAAACTCGGTTCCTCTCTTCATTAATTGTTCGTTGTTGATTGCCGACAGATTGCCGCTGCTGGTGATCACAGCTTAAACCATCGCTCCTTTCTTTCACGAAACTCGATTGGCTAAAAAAGTGTAGGAAACCAGAGTAAGGTAACTACTCAAAAAGAATTATTCCCGGTGCATTTCAACAACCTGGTCGAAAAAGCTGGTTGCTGTGGGTGTGAGGGTCAGACAACTGAACACGTACTGTCTACAATGGTTTTGATTGTGTATGGATGCGCACGCGATGTGGTTTGTGCCACAGAAAGTTTACAGTCTGATCACAAATTTATTGTCCATTTTGACAGTACGTTTGCCAACGTCAGGGTATGAAACAACTGTCAGCTTAGCTAAAATTAACGGTCAAGTTGGATTCTGAGGTATCTGATATAACGAATCGCGGTTTTTAATCCCGTAAAAACAGTGTCACAAATAAACATTTAGCTTATAGTGCGCCGGGTTAGACAAGAAGGAGGAAATCGGATAATCACGAAGAGACGTTTAATAAGTGCGCTGGACAGCACCTAAATTTTGCTCTGTGCAAGCTACTTGACTTCAAAATATAAACCTTTCTGCAAACATGACTGAACAGAAAACAGCGGTTACAAGTGAAAAGCCATGTCATGGATTGCGGACATCAATTCAATCAATCAATCCACTTGCCAGCTATGAACCATGTACCATGGCTCATTTTTTCCAGATGCTACAGTTTTGGTCACCGTAGAAAGGAGAATTTGGACATAGCTAAAATTTCGGTGAATTTGTGGTCATCGGTGCATCACTGATGCCATTCACGTCTAAAGAATTGAAGTAACCAGAACAGCCCACAGTATGCACCTGTTGCATGGATTAATTTTTTGTCAAACGTTCTTTAGCGCAATATTTCCTCTTCAAAGAAGATTCAACGGTAATTAATTGTGAACAAACGGACTTGTTATTTCCTGTGTGAGCGTTATTCTAATGCTTGCTTCTCTAAAAATCGAGCCACTGAATTTACATTATTCGTGATACTAATATTAGTAACTATTCGGCTCCTTCTCAACAAGATCATCATCGTCATCGTCATCCTAATCAGTAGCGACGGCTGCTGCTGTGGTAACGGCATCAGCCGATCGACGCTCCTGGGTGGCACCTGTCTCTGGAGATGGTCACTTTGAGATGAACAAGGAAGTTAACATTCTGACTAGCTCGTACTGACTGTGACCAGCTCGGCCAGAAGCAAAACCAAGGTATCTGTCTAACATGCTTAATTGCGATTTGTTGAGCGAATTCCAGCAAAACTACATAGATATAGATACAGAATATCTCTGTATTTTTCGTGCTACAGCAATTGTCTACTTTGCATAACCGAACCAACCAGTAGTTGGTCCATAAATGGACTTTGCGTCCAATTTGATGATCCTCCCGATTAATGTGTACATAGTGACCATGTCCATTCCACTATATCCATAAAATCGTTTGGATTCATTAGGACAGATGGACCGTACTCAACAGTTGCAGCAACGCTTTTCGTGCGTCTTGCCGCTCTACAAGAACTTTGTAAGCAGCCCACATTTTACTCGTTTCGCCTTTTTGTTCGTATTCTCTGTAAACTTCAGAGAACCGTCTTACCATCCTTGCTAGCTTCATTGCATTTTCTACTCGCTCCATGAATTTCTCATCCTCTTTCGAAAACAACACTGCTTCCATAGCACTTGCTTTAGCATTGACATAGGTTAACTTTTTGACTGCACCCCTTACTAAATCCGAAGTTTGTCGTCTACGGGTAATTCGGCAGCAAGGTCCATTTGAAGAGTCCGAGTCGAACAAATAGGTCTCTGGATCAACAGCTCGCTTTCCTGCCAGTGTTTCGATTTTGATTGCTGGTCGCATTTGACTGAAATTCCCTTTAAGAGCCGTTGTTTTGCGATCCATTACAATAGTCACTGATGGGATGCACTTTACGTGTATGCTTCCGTAGGCTATGGTGCATGCGAATATCGATTGCGGATGCGTTTGAATTCATTGTTCACATGACACAAAATGAGTTACAGTGATTCAGCTGATACTGGTGCTGGAATAACGGAAGCTCGTTGTCAGCCTCAGGAATACAGGAAGCGATTGTAGCATTGGATACTAGTGACAATTGTGTGAACGAGGCTTGTCTGGATAAGAGTGGTCGAGCGAACACAAATCTGTGAAGTGCTAGATGTAAACTCGGTAGGTGGGTGAGCTAGTGGGTGGGCAAGTTCGTCCGTTAGCCCGTCCATTTGTCAATCAATCTGGATGTGCCTCTTGCCTAATTGCCTTCATGTCAGGCTATCTACGGTCCCGTCTATCTATCTATATGTCGGACATTCTTTCAGTTTCTATTCGCCTGACCGTGTCTGATTTTTCAGCTGTTATTCAACTGTTTGCAAAAGCATATTTCAAATCCGGGTCTTCCAAATTGATGCCACTTGGAACGGTCGAACACCGACTTTTTGGAACATAACATCTTGCACGCAGGACTGTTTCAGACATTCTTTCAACCTATTGAAATAATGCTCTGGGACTGCAGTGTTTTATTCTGGCCGACCGTCTTGCATATTGCTCACTCTTTTTGACAAAGAAGTCTTGCTTGAAAGCGAAAGTAGCCCATACTTTTGAGTCAGAAGCCAGGGCTAGGGTCCTAGCTTCCTAATACATTGTGGGTTGTAGCCTTCTGAGTTACCAAGTGGTTTTTGTTGTTAACAAAAGAGGACACTAATTGGGTTAGACTTTTGATTCGAAGGCTCAAAGTGCGGTACTTCAAGCAAACTCCCTTCCTCGGCCTGGGCAACCGAGAAGTATCATTTGTCCGCGCAGTGCTGTGCCCACCGATAGATTATTACAGATCAGCTTTATGGTTTTTGTCCGTAATCATTTACCACAGTTCACTGTAAAGTGCATTGTAAGAAAGGACGTGAACCCTTATCCTCACCCTCGCCCGCGTTAATCCGATCTTCTTAGTTTGACCATCCAGGTTGGCTTAGAACATGAGCGACCAGTTGGCCAAACCAAACATCCGGAAAGTAAAGCGGTACCCCAAAAAAAACCCTAGAGTCAGTTTCCGCAGTTATTCTGCCGTGGTATTCAATAATAAGATTAAATATTTTCAGTATCACAGCCATAAGCGGCAGCATCGACATAACATCAATTGTCAGCACTAATGATTCACTGCCATCCAACCACAATTTATCTGGAAGCCTTTTGTGAAAACAACAGAATAAAAGTGGAAAAGGAATGGAATAAATGAAATACACCCATTTTCAAACTAATTTAGTTTATCGAGAGACTCAGCCGGAACCCAGCTAAATCTCTCGTTTGTGATGTTTCCATGCAACTGAATGTGCTGCACCAGGCCGCCTCATGTTTCAGTCGCTACTATATTCGAGATATCGCGATACATGTGTATTCTTAATGCGCTGCTCATAAGGATGCTGAGGAGGTTGCTATCGGGGAATGGAATAGTTCTACACCTTTAAAACAGCATGGATAGAAACTTTAACAAGAACGCTGCGAACGTTGCAGCAGTCACAATGCCTGTTGGAGCCCCATCACGATGGAAACATAAGCCAAGGGTTTATCACAACGAAATTGTACCTCGGGAATGTTTTATGAACACCTGGACTTTGTACGGTAGACTACCGTTGAGGTCTGTTTCACGTGACACATTATACACCGTATTTGCGAGTAATTCTATCTTCCACATGTTCAAACGTCACATACAGTTACAAAAGAGGCATCAGAACAACTGCTTTTGAATTTTGAAGATCACGTTCCCTTTACACCAGACAATGCCTTTTTTGATCTTATGAAAGAAAGAACTGCCGTGGACAAGCATTGGAAACGGAACGGTCAGAATTTTCAGTTGAATTTTGTCTCCTCAAGTGAAGATCACAAGAACGGAAGACTGCCTTCTGTACATGACTCGGTCTATTTGATGGGTGAGTTCCCTGGAATTCCATCGCATAGGTAACTCCATGATATTCTGAATGAATGGTTGCCGAGACCTTCAGTTGAAATAAATGCTCGGGTCTTATGTCAACCGGGGGTCCGAGGGTCAACAACATGCAATTGTCTTTTACAAATTTATAGTCACTGCCTATTTAGACTGAGATAGCCACCATCATGTGTACACCCGTGTGCTTCACGTCAACTGCACATTTGAGAATGACCGCTCATTACACGGCTGGCCGTTTTGTGCAAAAAGTTACCTGCCATTAGAAAGCCATCGGAAAGGTATTAGTGATTACTGTGCCTTCTGTATAGTTCTAGTTAGAGAAACTATAGTTACCTTATTGCGTCCACTTGAGTGATCAGACATAGTGCTATCTTGACCAGTCGATAACCGTACTTTTATTGTTACTGTGATCAAGGATGGACAAAAACTATCCATAAAAGTGGAATATTGTGCTCTGCGTTCGACTTACAATTACTTTCGCACCAACTGCAAGGACAGACTTTCCCGGAACTTGATAATGATCTGTTCCAATGTAGAGTTAAGCCCTAATTGGTTTAGCCTTCCACTGATTAGCTGTACATGGGTCCGTAATGGCTGGCTGCAGGGGGAGAGGAAGAATGTAGAAAACTCACTGAATAAAGCAGAAGTTTGCAAAGAAGATTCAACTCAGGTTGAGCTTAGGAACGCTGCCATCCAAGAACGACAGTCCGTAGCATTAGTGGCACACTGAGTTGATCGATCGGCTTTAAATCAATGAAAATCTGGAATGCTTTGTAATCTCATCTGAACAGCATCAGCCTTCAGGTTATAAGACGCTCTACCATTCGACAACGTCGCCCTAGAATGTTGACAGAAAGAGCTGAATCTCCGTTGTCTTATATCAGGTTTGCGCAGCACCTGCCCCAACAGCTGTAGACATATTGCTGAACGAACTGGGAAAGTGACAGAATACCTTGTATTAATAATCCCATCAAATGGTCAGGTGAAATAAGAGATCGATCGTCAACCAAAATCACCGGGAGAACGTACAAGCAGAATAACACTGCTCTAAGGCAGCTCTAAGACATAATCTAGTCATTTGCATAGTCTGCTTTCATCATCATCATCATCATCATCATCATCATCATCATCATCATCATCATCATCATCATCATCATCATCATCATCATCATCATCATCATCATCACCATCATCATCATCATCGTCACCATCTGGTGTAATACTCGCACACTTGTCGTACAGTAAGACATTAGTTTACTTTTGTGTGTTAGAAGAATAGCTTTCATCTCAGCTCCAGCTTGAAAAGAAAACAAAAGGGCCGAACATCATCAATTAACTGTCAGGAAGATAACAATCTTCCAGCTGTCCTTCATTCGCTATTACAGCCGTACGAGACACTTGCATGCTAACATTTTAAAATGAATGCACTGGAACGGAGACCAGACTTGCTTTGCGTTCTTCCTAGGCACCACTGAAAACCAGTAGTTCGTGCTCAGCTGTACCTACCGAAAATGAAAATGGGAGAGTTAGACAAAGGTTTTCATTGCTCAAAATCAAAACGTTCCTTATCCGCAGTAATTTTTGTAAGTTATGTTCATGTGACTATTTTCGGTAGTCCACACGAAAAAAAAGCAGGAGCCAGAGCTTCGTTCTCATTGGAGCTCACCGGGAACGCTTGAACCGGAACTCAGTAAATAGGATGAAGCTGCCAAAAGCAGTTGTAAAGTAGCTGGTCGCATTATCAAGCATGACCTGTGTCACCGGATAACAGTATCGATTACTTCTGTTCAAAGTAGATTACTGTTCCGCCTTTAACCGGTAGCCGAGTCCCAACCTGTTATCCCAGTTCGTACTGTTTAGCCATGGAAAACCCACAAGAGCCTGTGATCACGAAACACCTTATTTGTAGTTGCTGCTGTTTTCGCCTTGTTAGACCAGAACGTGTTGTTTTGGATATATTTACAGACATGAAGGAAAATGCGCTTCTTGACGCAAAGGCCGGAGCTGTGGCTGGCATCCTGTTCCTCCAAGATGATCTTTTTGCGTATCAACGCATGGCAAAAATGAATAAGGATGCTATAATGAAACAGCCCATGACTGTGCAGGAACAAGAAGAGATGCTTGAGGCATTAATGCCAGCATCGTTTGCCCTGAAGGCCTATCTACGGAATAACGACCGTCAAATTGCTCGACTTGCTTTGCTGGCAAGTCTGGAACCAATCACGATGTAATGTTGTTTTGTATGTTGATACTTGCATATACCCCTCCTGTTCAATTTCTCGTTTTACACTGAATAGCGGAGTGAATATATTCCTTTGCAGGCAGCGTGATAAAAAGTGATCCATTACACTCTTACTTGAATCACTCCTACACCCAATCAGGCTTTATGCGGAGATAAGCCATCCATCAAGTTTATGTAACTGAGGCTGTGTAGAAGGTCGAGTTTAAGATACAATACGCAGTACAAAATGCCCATAAATTACTCATCTCTAGGTTTGGGTAAGTCAGATTTATAACTGATTTTGGGAGGAACAATCAATTACCATTTCAGAATTGTTAGTCAGAAAGGCTGTGAAAGGGTTTTTAAAAGCTTTTCTTTCGGAAAGACGTACGAATCAGGTATCTACCTCTCTCGTTGGTCATCTACGAGCTAAGTCGCATCCAAATCCTTTTAAGGAAAAGCGGAGTCAGGCCGTAATCGACAGAACTAGGTGGAAAATGGATGGCCACGGAATCTCTTCACCTAACTGCTTAAAAAACGCAAAACGACAGCAACATTGACCTAATTAAACAATCAAAATAGTATAAACTCAACCAAGAAAGCCTGAGTTGTTTGATAACCGTTATCATCATTATCGTCATCATCATCATCATCATCACCATCATCACTGTCAGCTGTAAGAACCGCGTACTTGTCGTGCAACAGTTGACCAAAACATACACCTGGTCGGCTTGTTTAAACCCATGTAACGGAACTAAAGTGGACACGTCCTTTAGCGAGGAAAAATAGGAAGCTACTAGAAAGAACGCCTTGAAAAATGACAAAATACCTGTTATACTACTCTTACGTTGTGTAGCCTACCTGATGGTGAATACCTTTGGTCGGGTGACCCAGATGAAGTTTTTGTTTTTACTAGGATGTCTCCTATGACAATACTCACTTGGGGTGGACAGCAATGAATCTGAATAATGGTTGAATTTGTTGGACTAATTGGAACAAGGCGTCATGACAGAAAATGAACGAAACAAGGCACTGATCTTTCCACTGATTGCGCTTTACTGGCCGCAATGATCCGGGATGTGATTAGAGCAGGCCCAACTCTCTGCGAAAACGTTGCTGTAAAATAAGTGAGTTAGGAACCTTGTAGTTGTATCCATGTTGCCGCACTCTTCAAGCGGTGATCACCTAGCCAGTGCGTGTGCACTGACGGGGGACTCAGTTACAGTATCTCACGTTAGTTGTGCACAGCTTAGATAGGGACTTTGTGTGTTACATCAGTCGAACGAGAAGGATGGATATCGTCCATACAACAGAAGTAAAAAAAACTCCGAGGCGGATTCACTCTAAAAGCTTCCCAATTTGAACGGCTCTCCACTTGTGTAGTGATTATTCGGTCTTTTCAACATTAGAGTTCCGCTACTACAAAACTATTTCAATAATGCGTATTCGGAATGGAAATTTGATCGCCTGATACCGATGCAAGCGTGATGGATCTGCACACTTGATGACCCATCATTTAGTGACTACGGTAGGTACTTACTGTCTACAGCAACGTATTCAATTTGGAAATATAAGTTAGACACCATGAGAAATTAAAACACTACTTCTTGGCCCTGCAGCACGTAAGACGTAGCCTTTGTTGCAATTCCTTGATCTCTACACGCTACCTAAAATCTATAAGTAGCTCAGAAGAAGAATAAAATTTGTCCGACTAGTGATGCCCAACCGGTGCATCGTCAGCGCTCTAGTCAGGTTCTCACTGCTGAGAATTTTCATTAAGAAAGAAACTGTTGTGTAGTGCTTCTTGGCTTTTTAGGATAGACTGATTTCACTTTCAGAGCGGACGCTTCAATAAAAGAGCGAGCTATACTAACGGAGTTTTTGCGTGGTCAGCCATATAAAGTACGCGTTACCAAACACTTTCTTTGATGCGTACAATTAACATGGAATTCTCTCCATTCCTTAATTTAGAGGGTTTAATAAAAGGTTTTCTATTAAGCTCTGTCAACTCGATTATCTGTTCTAATGTACCGCTTCTGTTAGGATTACTTTTCACCAAACATTATGCAGTTGAGTATCTATAATTGCATTGGCAAAATTAATCAGCACTGATCACTGCCGTCCTCCTGGATGGGGACCCCGAGACGGACTAAGTCAGTGGTTAAGGACATTGTCAGACGTGACCCAGTCACGCCATCAATGACGCTCGTCTATCCAAGCTATCGTTTTCAATGCACAGCCCCCTTCCCAATTCCCACACTTAACAATCCACTGACTGTGCTTTATTTACGCACCAGTCTATAGGCAGCTACCTACCTCCGCTTCCCAAATCATCGGCGAACAAAACTGTGGAAACTACAACTACTGTAAAACAAGTACGCGGTCCTTACAGCTGACAATGATGAATTAGCACAGCGTCCTTCTTCAAGGGCAGCTTAATGGTATCAAAATCGGAAAACCGAAATCCTTGCAGGGAAGAGATCTATGCTGGTTCCAACATAATGCTTCATAATGAACCATTTACAAGGCTGCTTCTATCCTCAGGAGTGCCGGAAACACTGAATAAAGAGGAAAAAAGGAAAAACCGATGGCACTCTGACGTTTATCAAACTTTTCTGCTTCTAAAACTCGTCCATCAGGCATACATTAGTAGCATTACACATCAATATTAGAGGAGATTAGTCGCACGGTGGTTTCAGAAGTTTACCTGTAGTGGGCAACTGTGGACCAAGACCTTCGCTTTTAGGAACGAATGATTCGGCTCGTGTTCTCGGTCGGTGTAAACACCCTCTCCAACTGTATACCGAAGTATCCATCATCTTTCCATCTGCAAATTCACCCACTGCCTCTCTGGACGACAGTGTTTACGCGCAGATTAGTAGGAAATAGTTTAAAGAGATTTTAAGAGTGAATTTTGAATAATTTATTGCCCGTTGATGAAGGAAAATGCAGAAAAACCTTTTTGCCACGTAAACTGGAGCACACTGGTGCGGCTAACTGATCTTCAGCTCAAGGCCAAGGTCCGGGCTTCGTGGTACTGTGATGACCTACCAAGCCTCATCGGATTAATGGTCGCTTACATTCCCCAGTGCTTTGCTTTATTAGAGATTTTAGGAATTGCAACCCGAATTTCTTATTCTTATGTGATAGCACCAACTAAGAGCCAGCCAGGATTCCAAGGCGACGGGGTTGATTTGTTACTTATAATCACGACTTCCTAGGGCCTTGGTGTCTCCACCATGTGTTGTATCTGCTGATTCGGCAATCCGTTATATCTGACTGCTGTTCCCGCTCCATTGCCTAGAGCTGGAAAAAGACTCACCGAAGGGAACACAACAGATTTATTCTGAACAAGTGAGCGCCAGAGCGTGAGTATGAAAATACAACGGCCTCAAGCTATTTTATAGGATGGACACTGTCTGGAATTGATCCAACGCTGAATCAATGTCTGGCTTTGATATATGGCTGTGGCGTGCTGCATATTGAGGGTGCGTTCTCTGTCTGGTCAGCACCTAGTGGAACTGAGAGTATCAGTAGATTTCGGCCATTCAGCGGTTACTTCCAGGAATCTGACCTTCCTGATACCACGCTCCACTATCATAATGAAATTCGCAATATCCTTTGACGTGGTTGATAGCTGAAAAAACTGGGTTAAACGTGATTGAGCGCAGTGCAATCCAGGGAGATGCAATACAGTGCAACACAACACAGTATAATACGATATACTCTGGTAGACAGTGGTTTTCGGAAAGATTATCCAGGACAAAAAGATGAAGTGACATTAATTACGATATCGGCCACTACACTGGTTAGGTCTTCTCTAAAAGGTGAATTTTGTTTATTATACTACTTACTAAATATAAGTAGTGAACGTTGACAATCTTTCGTTTCCCGCCAGTCGCAAATAGCGACAGCCGTATACCGCATGAACATAATTGATCCTCCGTCCAAGAAACGTCGTTTAAACACCCTTAATCCCTTCACATTGTCCGTATCAGTAGTTTCGGCCATTCAGCGGTTACTTCCAGGAATCTGACCTTCCTGATACCACGCTCCACTATCATAATGAAATTCGCAATATCCTTTGACGTGGTTGATAGCTGAAAAAACTGGGTTAAACGTGATTGAGCGCAGTGCAATCCAGGGAGATGCAATACAGTGCAACACAACACAGTATAATACGATATACTCTGGTAGACAGTGGTTTTCGGAAAGATTATCCAGGACAAAAAGATGAAGTGACATTAATTACGATATCGGCCACTACACTGGTTAGGTCTTCTCTAAAAGGTGAATTTTGTTTATTATACTACTTACTAAATATAAGTAGTGAACGTTGACAATCTTTCGTTTCCCGCCAGTCGCAAATAGCGACAGCCGTATACCGCATGAACATAATTGATCCTCCGTCCAAGAAACGTCGTTTAAACACCCTTAATCCCTTCACATTGTCCTTTACCATCCAGGGATGGTGACCCACAGACAGTTATGTTAGACTTTACTGAGTCGATCCGTTCTGAGTCGAATCAGTCCACAGAAAACATCATGAAAATGGCTCAAGTACTAGGATTTCAATCCGCTACGACTTATGCAAATAAGGTTAAAAAATAGTTCTTGCATGGGCATCTTTGAATGTCGTTACTGTGTGAGAGAGAATACTTTAGAAGCCGACCGTAGCAACGCGAGCACAAGCAAGCTCTCACCCAAACGAATCGTTCAGCCGAATTCAAATATCTGTTGATGACTGTTCAGTCTGAGACAAAAGCAGGTTCCCTAAAAAGCTGACAGAAATGCTTTTCTGTCAAATGAACTTTTGTTCTATAAGTGAAACCAGTCCATGCTAAACAGCCAAGGTGCAGTATACAGCTGCTTTTTCCTTATTTGATATCATCATTGGGGCCCATCTGATGAAACTCAGAGAGTCTCGAACCCGTGACATGCCGGTCAGTTACCGAACGCATGAATGTATGGCCAGTGGCGGGTGAAAACATCGAGATTATCTCTTACTTAGACAGGATATCGAGCTGTCCATTCTTCGATCA